CTTCTCTCCCTCTTTCAGTGGCCACATCCCAAGACATTCAAGACATTCAGAGGGGAAACAAGAAAAACTGGCCTCAGAAGTGTCTCACTCCTACACTGGTCATTCAAAATATTAATTAAAGAAAGCAGACAGACTATTTCAAGCACAGTTTAAAAAATAATCCAAGGTTTACAGAGCTTCATGCCTACACTGAGCAGTCCCCCTGCCATCAAGCACACTTAGGTTGTTCACACTGTGTTGTTATTCACACAGGTGAGTTTTTCCTTTAATTCATCAAAATAAATGTGCCATTTTTAGTGAATTGCACTTCTGCAGTTCATTCGTGGAAAGTTCTGAGCAGGAGGAGAAACAAAGCCTGGGGAAATCGAGCGTGTAGGGAGGCCATGGGATAATAATAAAAGAGCAGTGATCCCCACAGATGGAACTGTGATGTCCAGGCAGAAGGGAGGAATAAAGGCAGAAAAAATAAAGAGACTTAAATTCCTGCAGTTAGGAAACACAGTATAAATATACAGAAGATTTTTCTAGTTACAGACAAATGGGGCAGTGAAAGCAGCTCAGGAGGATGCTGAAAACTATCAGACAGAAAAGCTGATCCTGTGTCATGTGAGAAGATATGAGGAGGATAAAAAGGGTCTTCTTTTCCCAACAAGCTGTTGTTTCTCATACTTTGGCTAAAGCTGCTTCTTTATGGCTTCGTTTGTCTGATGGGCAGAGACTTCTTAAAGCTTGGTTGATACAGAACAACAGTGGTTCAACTCTAACAAAGGCTACAACTGGATTTCTATAATTAAACCTGATGTTTAGCCAAAATCTTATGGCTACAAAAGAGGCAGGAAAAAACCCCCCTTGGTCTATGTTCTGAATTCCAAACCCAATTTTTTCATGGAAGCTACACACAACCCCAAGCAGTTTCACACAGATACAAGTTTACCACCTATTCTGGAAAGACTAAATACAGCTTGTGGTTCTATAACACAGTTTCTATATATATAAAAAAAGAGAAAGCCCATCCAGTGGCAGACTAAGGTCTCAGATTTCCAAGCTGACTCACACTGGCTGACATCCTTTACCCATTCCCACGGATGTTAGTGGGAGAAAGGCACCACTGGCCCCTTGTTTCTCAGGACTCAACAAGCCTTCAGATCGAGGGCACCACCACAGCACACACTGCTCACCACCTTCCCAAAATAGCCCCAGGAATCGCTCCCAACAGCTGCTAATGAAGCCACCAGTGAAGGACCAAGAACACAAGTGTCAGCCAAGAATCAGAGCTATTCCAGTCGTGGCACTGGAAGACTTTTCAAGAATCTGGGATGGCCACGCTGTGAATGACAGCAATGGAGGAGCCATCTGAGTCACACAATGAGAAAATTTGTTTATGGCCATAGCACTCATCCTCAGTGCTCCAGGAGGGGCAGGACAGCCCATGATTAACTCTAGCAGAGTGTTGTTTTTATAATCCTAAAAGGAGGGCCACGATAAGGACTATTTATATAGACAAGAAAATGTTTATTTTTTTTTCTTACACACCTTTCTGATTCTGTCTAACGATGCTGAAAACCGCCAGCTTAAGGCGAGTTGCCAAAAACAGGAAACACATTTAAAATAACTTAATACGCCGGTCTTTTTCTGCCCTGAATTGTTTGGAGCTTCTGGGGCTACACCGACACGGGCACACCTGCTGAGAGCTACACCTGACTAAGTGACAGTCAAGGCGATATTGTTAACTATTATTACAGTTATTATTATTTTAATAGAAATAAGAGGAACCTGCCGAGGGTCCTGCTCCGCCCGACCCCACCAGGCAGCCCCAGGGCCGCTCCCTCACCCCACACTCAGAGCCCCCCGAACCCCATTTACCTCCCCGCCCCGGGGGACACCCGGCCCCCCAGCCCATTCGGATAAAGCGGGGAACGGCGCTAGCACTAAGCCACCCGCCCCCCCCCATCCGGGGCGGGGGGGGCGGCATAGGGCTGATAGAGAGGGTGCGGAGTCCCTGTCTGCCCTCAGCCCGCCGGGTACCTCTCGGTAGTCGCGCCCGTCGAAGAGACGAAGTCGCCGCTCTGGACGCACGTGGCGCAGGTGAGGCGCGGCGGCGCGTGGGTTCAGAGCGGGCACCGCCTTCTACCGCCACGTAAAGCTCCTCGGCGTCCTCGTCGGCGCCTCGCAGGGCCCGGCCCCGATCGGCTCGCATCCCCCCGCCCGGCCCCTCGGCGCGGCCGGCGGCCGTGGAGCCGCCATGATGGGCCGCGCGTCACGTGGGGCCCTGTTGTCGGGCAGGGGATTGTGGGAAGCGGCGCTGAGGCGGCGGGAGGGAGCGGGGGAGGCAGGGCGGGGGGCCGCGCTCCGCGGGGAAAACGCTGCTTCAGACATAAAACTGCCGCCTTTTCCTTCCGCGGAAGGAATAAAAACCACCCCTGCCCTGCTTCCAGAGCGGGCGGTGTCTTGTGTTCTGGTCGCCGGGGCTCCGCAGAGTCATCTGCGCCAGAGCCGGTCACTGACGCTGCTGTGGGGACCGTGGATGCTGATGAAAGCCCGTCCCTCTATCTACAATAATATCAAAACCCAGCTGTACAAGTAGCAAATACTGATGCGCCTCGTAAAAAAAAAGTGACAGACGAAGAGGTTTCCTCACCTCAGCTCCACGGCTGGAGCCAGAATGAGGAGTTAAATACGTATGATCAGCTCGTGTGTAGGGGCAGAGAGCCCACTCCTCTGCATCCGTATATCACGGAATAGGTTGGGTGGGAAGGGGCCTGAAAGACCATCCCGTTCCACCCGCTGCCATGGGCAGGGACACCTCCCACTGTTCCAGGTTGCTCCAAGCATCATCCAACCTGGCCCCGAACAGTTCCAGGGATGGGGCAGCCACAGCTTCTCTGGGCAACCTGTGCCAGGGCCTCCCCACCCTCACAGCCAAGAATTTCTTCCTAATATCCAGTCTAATCTCCACCCCCCACCCCCACCGCTGTCAGTTTGAAGTGCTTCCCCCTTCTGTATCTGCAAGGAACCCCTAGGGTGACATATAATGTGACATAGTTCACACAAGCCAGAATTAGCTTTCAAAGCAATATATTATCCCTTTCAATAAAAAGCCCCACAACAAAACATGCCCTGGATGTATTTGTTGTGTTTTTTTTCTTTTTTTTTTTTTTTTTTTTTTTTTTTGTAAAGCAACTCCCAGCCTACCAAGCCTGTATTGTTTCCCTTTCCAAGTGTTATCAAACACCAGCAGGAACAGCACTATGGAAAGTAGAACAAAGATTGTTGGTTTGAAGACAAGAGTTACCATAGCAAACATTAAGTTAATCAGTAGTTCAGTGAAAAGGCTTTATCCGTGCTTTTAAAGAGCACTAATTTTACCAGTGAAATCACATGGCAAGCTCTTAAGTAAAATGTGATTTCTCGAAGAAGCAGCTCATCTTAGATAATCCAGAATCTTTTTTCCCAGAATTCCAATAAAACCAGGTTGTCTTCACTTACAAAATATTATTGTAACTCAAGTTATAATAGAGTGCAAATAGAAGTCCAGCCCAGAGCTGTGGAAAGTCTCCAGCATTAGAAAGCAAACAGAAAAGCAAGCCTGTGTTTAAAAGAGATTTGAGTGTGGAAATCCACAGTTCAACAGTGACCCAGAAACTGATAACAGTTAAGACCAGTTTATCATGAGGAAGTGCACAAAGTTTTTCAAACTCTTTTCTGGAGAAGAGATAGTTATAAAAGCACTTGTGAGACAAAGAACAGACACAGAAGGTGCAATCACACCCTCACCAAATCAGAAATAAACGTGTGACAGAGAAACTAAACCCAGCAAGACCCTGTTCTGTATTGAGCCATAGCCCATATTGTGTAATTCCATCAAGGACAGAGGTAGCTTTTGGCCTGGGTTGCACTTAAGTCATCTAACAGCAACCTCTAGTGGTGCTTCCCAACAGATATCACATCTTCAGGAGGAAGAGAGGGGAGGACACAAGAAAAACTGTTCTGACTTGCTTCCAAGGAATCATAGAAGGTTCCAGAACAGCCACAGGACAGTCTTTGCACTGTTCCTACTCAAATCACCACTCTGAGCATGATACCTTCTGAAAATAAAGGCTTGAGTTCATTTGGAGATAAAACAAAGTACAAGAAACGCTGCAAAACTACCAAATTTTATGTAATGCCATTGCCTGAGCTCTGGTTAAATAATACAGATAATTAAGTCTTGAGCATCCAAGACTTTTTGTATTTTCCTCAAATCCAGTTTTAAGATTGCTTGGTGCAGACAAGAACAGCTTCCATCATCTGAGAGGACTTCAGTAATACAAGCGGGTACCATTTAGTTAAAAATCTAATTTGTGTCATGTCAAATTACATGATTTAATTAGTTACCCCTCCACCCACACCCTTTCTAGGTATATTCCAGCAGTGAAGGCCTTGAATGTCTTCTCTGGAATAGGAAATCCTACCCCACACACACAAGAATTTACCCAACCAGTAGGATCAGAGGGATTCAGGACACATCCTCTAAACACTGAAATAAACTCATGTTGGGTTTTGTAACCTGTATTATAGACAATAATGTATTTTGAGCTTAAACATGAAAATACAACATTGCAGGAGCAAGGTTTCAATACACTTAGAGCTGAGAATTTTGATAAAGCCAGTTTGAAGTGCAGTGTGGATTCACCTCTTCAACAGGGGAAGAGAAATGTTCCTATTACAAAATACTTTTAATAGAAGGCATATTAAGATGGCACTTAAAAGTACATTCATTTGGCAAGTCTTTCAGCCTGACAGAAGCTGTCAGAACTCATGTGAATTACAGACAGATACTGGTGAAAGAAAAGAAGATTTCACAAACTAAAGAAAGGCATCAGCACTTACAGCATTCAGAAATCCATCATTTGCTTAATGATCCACAACTGTACAACTGGGTCCAGGAATACCCTTGGCTTGTGTTCCATGCACAGTAATACAAACCTGGGCATTTATTCTGAATTGCTTTATGAGCCATGTTATGATGGTTTCTTGAAGCCTTTTAGAATGGGGTAGATGTTCTCAAACGCCTCATAGATTTCAGAACGGTCTTTTGCTCCTAAAAAGACATTTATAAAAAAACCCACAAAAACTCCACCATGAATTAACAGAATATTGAAAGTATCTGAATATGGTAAGATCACAAACCATGAAGAAACCCAGGGGTTTAAAAGCACATTACTATTAGTTTAAGGAAGAATTTCTATCATACTTCTGCCACCTCAAAGAGCAATTTCCAGCTTGCTTTGCTTTAAGATTAGTTTTGTTTAATCTGTGGAACCAAAACAGCAATTTTCTGCTCTTGACAGGTGGAAAAACATTGGCTTTGAAGAAAGAAGAAAGCAACTGAGAACCACCAAGGTGTTACCTGCTTACGAGTAACAGCTCTGCCTGTTGAAAAGGTAGGTGGAAAAGTAGAAACAAGAAGTGAAGGGCATTTATGCAATACTGGAAGTTGATCCACAGTTTGAGAACTCTCCTACTCCAGCTCTGAGAAGCATTTTTTATTTTTAAGCTATGTTAGGGCATGTATGATTTCAAAGCTTCTTCCATGGTACTGCAAGCAAATCTTTACCACCAAGTCTTGCATTGCTGTAGGCAGGAACATTCCTTGCCACTGACACTACTCTATCAATTACAAGAAAACTGCATTTAAATGAACTAAAAGTTGAATTAAGCCCTGCTCAAATTGAATGTGCAAGCCTTTTCCTCATGTCCTCACTTGGACATGACTAATTCATCTGTGTTACCACAACTTTTACTTTAAAAGTAAAGTTACTATTAAGTTATTTCCTTGATTAGGGGGGGAAAAAACCCTCACAGCTCATCAAATTCAATTTTGCAATTGCAGCTGGGCCCAGTGTTCACAGAAAAGGATCTACTTTAGTGCTTCTGGGCCTACTGCACACTCAAGGATGTTTCTTGGTTTTGGGTTTTTTTTTGGGTACACTAATTGGATCAGTGGAATGGAACTGGCCAGTATGATTTTGCTGTACCTAAGAAGGTGGTGGGACACTGGAGGGGGAAGTATTTAAGCTTTATACTGAGAGTGCCCCAGACTTCAGCTGGCTGAGCTCATTCCTGATCTATGACTCTGAGAATCCCTGGCTAAGGCTGGCACTTCTATGGTCTTCCACATGTCTCAAAGCTGTGTTGGGAATATAGATACAGCATTCAGAACTTCTGGGAACAAATCCCATTTACCTTTTAGAAGCATTTTCATGAGCTGCCCAAAAAGAATATGTTAGAAACTCAGGAATTCACCTTTTTTTTTTTTTTGACCTGGGATGAGGTACAGGTATCTGAGAGCACACTTACTCAGCAAGGCTGCTGCCCCACGAGTGTTTTGCCAAGCAGTCTGGAAAAAAAAAGTTCTTAGATCTCCACCCTTTCCTCTGATAATCCCTACTAAATGCTGTCAGTGAAGCGTTTTAAGAAGTTTGCTTCCTGTCCAAGCCATTTTAAATCGCTCATTGTGAGGTTCCTATTTAAGTGCCTGAGCAGTTACAGCATGCCAGCGTCCTGTTGGCATTGACATGTGGCATTATGCTTTGAATAACGTAAAAATACTCAAGTAATACGGAAATCTGAGACTCCACATGAGGCAATAGGAGATTCTAGTGCAACAATACTGATATTATCTGCAGAAAACACAGATAAGCAGCAGTAGGCACTATTAAAAAGTTCAGTAAGAGGCTTTACTGTGGTAAGATACTTTTAGCTAATGTTCAGTTCAAATGCTTTCTCAGAAGACAAAGTAGCACTAGGCTACAGATATTCAGAGAGACCACTTACCAGTCAGTACAACTTTTCCAGACACAAAGATAAGCAGCACTATCCGTGGTTTGACCATCCTATAAATGAGGCCAGGGAATAGTTCAGGTTCATAGCTGTTTCAAAGCAGGCAGGTAAGATTAGTAAAATGCAAACAAACTGTTTCAGTGTTGTATGAATAAAGTGCTCTTTAAGTGTATTAACAATAGAGTAATTAACCCCACAGATTTTAGATAGCTACTCAGAGAAAGGCAGGTCAGGCTTTAGACATCTTGAAGAGAAACCACTTAATTCCAGCTGGAGCTGGTGGGAGATCTTCATGCTTACTTTTAAAGATTTCTGAGCCACTTCTGATTTTTCATAGCATTGAAATCTTTATTGTAACCTTCAAACAGTCCCCAAATCACAGAATGGCCTGGGTTGGAAGGGACCTTAAAGATCATCTCATGGGCAGGGACACCTTCCACTATCCCAGGTTGCTCCAAGCCCCATCCAACCTGGCCTTGAACACTTCCAGGGATGGGGCAGCCACAGCTTCTCTGGGCAACCTGTGCCAGGGCCTCCCCACCCTCACAGTAAATCCTTCCCAGGCTGCAAAGAGCCCTTATTAGGAAGCATCTCATGCAACTAAGATGACAGCCAAGCATGAATCTTTAATATATATTTAGCTCCCAAATTACATGCAAACTACTAGATGCAGTGCTAATAAAAGACAACCAAATTGTGATTTTTGTCAGTGCCGAAATCTCCATCCTTTCCTCAGTGATGGCAATAACCAATTTTGAACAAGCCCACCTTGCAGGCACAGCATGCCCATCACTCAGCTACAGGTTTCCTTCAGGTGGGTGGCTAATGGACATCCAAGCAGAACCGAACCAACGTCCCAGAAACACGGTGTGGTTTCGTTTCTGTATTCTGCAAGTGCAGTTTGGCTTCATGCCTGAAGGTTGGAAGCCTTATCCCTGCAGATTGGCATCTGCTTTGCTGGGAGTTCAGAGGCTCCCTTAGTATTAAAGGCTCACAGTGGAGTGAGGGCATGGACCAGGCTCAAGGAGCTGCAGACAGTGCTCCGAGTTGCACAGGGCTGTAACTGATTGCCACGTACCTGCTGAACTGCTGGTGAGTGAGAACCAAGCCTTCCAGCCGGATGGGGAACCTCACATCACAGCTCCCAACCATATTCTGGATCTTGAAGTCCAAGAACTTGGCAGGGAAGCCGAGTTTCTGCACCACCCGTGCGAATTTCCTGGCTGCCAGCCGGGACTGCTCCTCACTGAGGGAAGAGCAGAGGGGGGGGAAAAAAATAAGTCAACTTTGATTAGTGTTTTCCCCCCTCTGCTCTCAAGATGGAATTCAGTTTAGAGCCACCAGTGTGCTAACCTGTGCTCCAGAAAAAGATACACTACTGCTCAAAATAGCAAGTGCCTATCCCCAAAACTGCTCCAGGGAGCTATAAAAGGAGTGAGGCACTTGGACATTCACTTTCCTGTGGTCTGTTTTGATCGTGTTGCATCACCCAGAAGTTCCCCTCTTCAGAGGTTTCTTTCTCAGTTCCTTAAAGCACCTTCTCAGGGCTGATCCAAGAGTTACAGACACCAGTACAATCACCTGCTTGGGGTGGTGGGAGGGTTTGGAGAAGAGGTCTCTGAAGTGTAAGTTAATGCATTATCTCACTGACAGTTTTGGGACACAAAAAACAAGGCAGCTGCTGAACTGGAGGAAAAGAGCTTCAGAGTACAGAAATCAACTTTGCTTTTCTCAAATTCCCATTTTCTCTAGAGGCAGATGTGTTGACTGGTGAACACAGACACCGAAGAGAGACTTGACAGACAGAAGTTATGTCCTAACTCACTTTAAAAGTCAGTGAGAAATGCAAATAACTCCTTAACAATTCCTGGGCATTTTAGCAGCTTTTCTGCTGATGTCTGCTCAGCTCAATCTAAATTCAGGGACAGAAGCACATGGTTCAGGAATTACTAAGCTGCCACCATGGAGAAAGCGAGGCATTTTTCAATACCACTGCTTCACTTTTTCTTGCAATTGTGACAGCCCTTTGCTAGGTACTTCAGATGAGATTTCCTGACATTTTTCCATCAGAATATAGGCACGGCTGCAAGACCCAGACCTTTAGAGAGAAGGTTAAAAAAACCCAGAAAAATACCTTTTTGCTCCCGTGCAGACCATTTTTCCAGAACTGAAGATGAGGGCTGTTGTCCGTGGTTCCCTGATTCTCATGATCACAGCAGCAAACCTCTAAAAATTCAAAGGAAAGCCTCACAGGAATTTAGCTGGGAATGTATTTCTAGTCAGTCTTTCAACAACTGATGCTTTTGAAGCCTATTACAACATGCATGTGTTTTGTACAAGTGTTTCTTTAGCACCCTGAAGTTATTTTCCACCCACCTGGGACCAGGGGAGTTGAGACTAAAGTCACAGGACCATTAGAATCCATGAGCACTGAGAAAAGGAAGGGAGGGTAAAGCTCTGAGTCCTCAAGACTTGCCTTTGGGTTATACTCTGCATTTCTGGCATGCAGAGCTATGTTCTTCAGATCCAGTTTACAAGCCAAGTTTACAGTCGACACAATATTCCTGAGGAACAAGAGAGGAACTTTCTTACTCCAAAAGCCAGCAACGGCAGAGCCAAACCCCAACGTGGACTTACTGTGGAGTCACACTCCAATTAATATTTGCTATCCAACTGATTTCCTGCTTCTTTCCGACTCCAGCACTAAGCTACTTTTGGCAAAACTTAAGTAATTCAATATCAAAATCACACTTTGAGATCTAACAAGGTATGAAATTATTAGTCCCTGAATTCTAAGTTTGTGTGTCTTCCAAAAGCTACATCACTGAAGTGTTTCACAGATTTGGACTGAACCGTTACTGACTGTTTAGAGTTACTACAGCACTTAAGGTGGGTAAGGGTATGTTATTTTCTATATAAACTACTCCACAGTTGCCCTACCTTAGGCAGGACAGGATCTTTTAACAAGAGGAGTGTTTCTCACACCCAACCCTCTGCACTCAGTTCTGTTTCTCCTCTTGAAAAAAGAAGACTGACAACTTTAAACCCTTGGAAGTCTGCTGTCATCCTTCACATTCTCCTTGCTGGAAGAAATCCTCCTTTATGTTTTTGTCAGTTCATTTGCTCCACCTCTCCCTCCAAGAGCAATAACTGCCCCTGTAGCTTTTTGGTTGGGCTCATTTCAGACCAAACCATGTTTGCCACGTTCTCTGAGTGAGAAATCAGAGCAGCACCTTGCAGTTCAAGCAAGCCCACGGCTACGATATATGCTACATATATAACACAGAAAAACTTACTGTAGCTGAGGAAGTGTGCCAGAGCCTTCTGATGCAGATGACAGTGGGGTCACAGGAGTCATTGGAGTCAGATGAGGACACATCCCAGATGTTTCAGGAGATGGCTGAGTCACATCTGGATTTGAGAAGCTGCTTTCATCCGTGAAGATACCGCTGTCCTCATTTTTTGGTACTGGCACATCGAGCTCTTTTGGCATTTCATGACCATCTTCAGATAGACTTTGTTCTTTGTTATCTTGGGTGACATCTGGAAGAAAGCTGAGGTCCACAGAGGAGAAGTCTGCATGGAGCTCTTCGGGCTGATTAAATTGAGAACCGAACTCATCTTTGATTGTTTGACTTGGAAGTTCCACATCATAAGGGCTCATGGGAGTGAACAGGTGAGGACTAGTTGAGAAGTCATCCTTGAATTAAGAAAAAGGGTCTTGTATTAAAACATTAACTGGGAGAGCAAATTAAGATTAATCTTCAATAAGTACATTTCAGTAATTTTTCCTCCCAATACATAATTATAGCAAAGAATAGTTTTAAGACTTGAAAGTGCATCCTTTGCTTCTCTGTCAGCATATAAAAATCCAGATAACTTTTATAATGGAGAGATGCATTTTCCCACCACACTTCAAAGGCAGTCTGGAGTACCCCTGTGACACCCCAAGTTGAGAAATGCTACACACCTTCAGCAGTGACTGCAGGTACAATCTGCCTGCTGGCACTTCGCCCTCCACAGCCACTGTCACACCTCAGTCATGCACACAACCAACATAATTGCTCATCGGTTTTTCCAAGGAAGACAGCTGGCATTTTCTGGCTGCCTTTACCTCCCAGTCTGTACATTCTTGCCATTTCCTCTCCCCGCTAGCAGGGGACAGTGTCAGCGTTGGGTTTGTGCAACAGAGGGCAGCAGCTCACAGAACCAGCAGAGTTTATTCCTCAGCTGCTGGAGGTCACCAGGCTGATTTGAAGGGAGACACAGTCAGCACCCCCAACATCCTGCCCTCTGTCAAGTGCACAACACACCTGCAAGCAAGCCCTTGCATAGTAATGTCCTCATTATTATTAAAATCTATTTTTAAAAAATCATCACATTGATGAGGCAAGAGTTTAGGAAAGGATTTATTCCCTATCCATTAGAGCATAAGCCTCTGCTCAGTGGAAAGCTTCTTCCAAAAAGGTGGTTTCTGCCAACACCCACAGCAGGTGACAGCTTGGGCTGAGGACTCCATACAAGAGGTTTTGCCTTTATTTAGGCATTTTTGGGCTTGAGAGCTAAAAGGACTTCAAAAGTCCAAGCAGAAACCAGAACAGGGAATGGTGCATAAGACTGAGGCCCTCGAATTGGCAGCAACTGCCTGAACTCCAGCAGGAGCAGGATTTCCAGATCAATGCTTTCCAGCCCTGAGCTAGTGCTGCTCTCTGCTAGTCAGCTCACTTGGCAACACAACCATGCACACAGGGAGATCTCTGCTCCTACTTCACAGTATATTTGCCTGTAGACACTTGGAAAACTTCCACTAAGTGACAGATCCTCCCAGAGAACCCTCACTAGCTTGAATACAGATGCAATCAGGTCTAGCTCTGAAAGCATTACAAACACCTACATTCAAAACTGCTCCTAAAATTGGCTTGTAGATGCAGAGACCCACTGGAGATCAGGTGGGGCAGAGTGCTGCTGAAAAAGCAGATGCTCCTTCACCCTCTGGAGCACAGGATCCAAAGCACTGTCTGAGAATTAAGGTCAGATACAAATGTATTGACAGTTACAAATAAGAATATATTAAGGAATAACAGAAAATGCATCTATTTTAAAGAGATAACGTTCAAGTTCGCAAGAGGGGAAGGAAGGCACTGTCTCTGCAACAATTCCAGTGGACTAAAGTTTGGGAGTTTATAGGGAAAATTTTGTACAAACCACGACACAGAGAAAATGGTACAAAAAGACCTCATCACTGTGAGCCTGTGAGACTACTCACATCATACTAAAGGGGCATCAAAGAATGAATGTAACAATCAAAAAAAATTCTCCAGTTTGTTGCATAGCTTAAAGAAAGAAGCTGAGGGAGAAGCTGAGTGGTATATGAGTGTGGAAGTATTAAACAGCTGTAAAACAAGTTTAAAAGAAGCAAGAGAAAGCAAAGTGCATAGGGTAGGTAGAAGCAGAAAGGTTTTTATCAGGTCTCCACATAAGTGGTGTAAGGAAAAGCCCTTATAGGGTTAAGTGCTGGGGAATATTGCCTTCTTGTCAGGCAGATGCTCAGAGGCTGTGAAAGGGGGCACAAGACCATGTTTGCTTTGGGCTGGCTGCCAAGGGTTATTGCTATAGACTCTGGGTTAATTAACTCCACTGAAGGCCCCACCAACTGCGTAGCTTTGGACATCTCCCAGCAGCTCTGGGAAGGAGATTTCACACACAGATCCTATCTGAGATCACTCACTTTGGGGCAGCTCGAGGGGAAACAGCCATTTTCACTCCCACCACAGAAATCCCTGCAACTGGGGTACACATAAATCAAACCCTGCTGCTTTAAGCAGCAGACTTGGATTCCCCCCCGCCCCTGCAGTGATATCACACATCTGCTGTTATCAAGTATCCCAGCAAGTCTGAAATGTAAAAATCCCAGCAGCATTTGTAAAACCCTGATTATACCTCACCACATTATATACATTACATTATTGTATAAGGCCCCACTCAGAAGGCTTTACCAACTTCCACGAGGGGGTCTCTGGATTTAAACAGCCTATTTGCTGAGCTGAAAAGTAGTTTACAAGCAGGATGCACGTAAAGAAGTTGCATTCCCTGAACAAAGACGACGCTCAGCTGTGGAGTCCAGCTTTTTCTAGTCCCTCACCCCAAGGAGCAAGTCAGTAAGGGAGCTCTACCTGTTTTATTCATCAGTGCTTGGCAACCACTTGAGATCAGCAGGACCATTTCAAATACCAAAAGAATAAGTTTTTGCAGACATTTATGAACCAGCATGATGAGATCTGAGCCTCCTGCCCTCTCCTCAGGGGCCACACGTCCCAGAACGTGAACGGGTCCTTGCAAGCAGCATCATCCTTCTTAGAATCATAGAATCAGCTGGGTTGGAAGGGACCTTCGATATCATCAAGTCCAACCCTTGATCCACTAC